TTGTGATGATGAATGCCACACCATTCCTCTTCAAATTGTCATTCCTGACATAGTAGATTATATGGTTGTCTGATTCAAAATGGCCAAAACCAGTCTAGTTCAGCTCAGTAATGCCTAAGATATCAATCTTTATACATTCCATTTCATTTTTGACAACTTCCAATTTTCCTAGATTCATACTTCGTACATTTCATGTTCTGATTATTAATGGATGCTTGCAGCTGTTTCTCCTCAATTTGAGTCATGTCACATCAGCAAATAGAGGTCTCAAAAGCTTTACTTTATCCATGTCGGTAAGTTTGGTTCTACTCTGATGATGCTGCACTTTCCCAGGCCTATTTTGAGAGCTTTCCAACCTAAGTGGCTCGTTGTCCTACACTGTATCAGACAGTGTTTCTAGGCTATTCATATAGTTGCCTCGTAATGTAACAGATAATGTTTCTCTGCTATTCATAAGGTTTTCCCTGGCCAGTTCTCTGAGAAGTGGATGGCCTCCTCCTTCTTCCTAATCTGTTTCAGTCTGCAAGCCGCATCAAAACTTGTGTACCATGTGCAACCCTGCTGGCATTTGAAACACTGGTGGCACAGCCTCAAGCCTCACAGCAACATGCCACCAGAGCTTGACAAACCGACAGACAAGTTTGTCTCTCTTAGTTGTTCTAAACCTCTCCACCTTCCCCTTACCAGGATCCCTGCGACTTGCTTGCTCTCTCTTGGACTCTCTGGCTTTCCTTTCCTTTCTCTTCCACTTATCCTGCTGCTTGGGGGTTGGGGCCTGGGTCCCTCCCCTTACCTGGATGCCTCTGCTGCTTGCTCACTCTGTCCTGGATGCCCTGGATTTCCTTTCTTTCCCCTCTGCTTTTCCCGCCACTTGAGGTTTTGTGCCTGGATCCCTCCCCTTATCTGGATGCTTCTGGGTGTTCTTGATGTTATCCTAAAATTCGTCTAGTTTTCAGTCACTGGTGTTCAATGCATCAAACCTATTCTTCAGGTGGGATATAATCAAGGTCATATTTTGGCTCTCAAGGACTTGTTTTAATTTTATCTTCAACTTGAACTTGCATATGAGCAATCGATGGTCTGTTCCACAGTCATCTCCTGGTCTTGTTTTTGCTAAAGATACTGAGCTTCTCTATCACCTCTTTCTAAAGATGTAGTCATTCTGATCCCTGTGTATTTAATCTTGTGAGGTCCACATGTATAGCTGCCATTTATGTTGTTGAAAAAAAGTATTTGCAATGAATAAGTTGTTGGTCTTGCAAAATTCTATCATGCGATCTTCAGCATCATTTCTATCACAAAGGCCTTCTTTGTTTCCAACTTTTGCGTTCCAATCACCAGGAATAATCAGTACATTGTGATTGCATATTTAGTAAATAATAGACTGCAGAAGCTGGTAAAAATCTTCAGGTCTTTCATCTTTGGCCATAGTAGTTGATGCATAAATATGAATCATAGTAGTATTAACTGGTCTTCCTTGCACAAAAACAAAACTCACTGCAATCAAGTCAATTCAACTCATAATGATCCCTCACTGGGTTTCTGCGCAGTATCTCTATGGAAGTAGATTGCCCAGTCTTCCTTCCAAGGAGTGGCTAGTGGGTTTGAACTGCCAGCCTTCTGGTTAGCAGTCAAATGCCTTAGGCACTACACCACCAGAGCAAGGTGGTATATATAGGGATATCATCTGCCATACCAATGCATGGTCATGGGCATATTCCCATTCACTGATCCATACTGGCTCTTCTTGCTTGTCTGCCTATGTACACACCCGATGGTTAGTGTTTGCTGTTACTGATAATGCAGTATTGCATATGCAGTGGTATCTGCCTTTATCATCTATACCTCTTGTGTACATCTCCGTGTCTTCTTTTTCCTGAATAATACTGTGCCATTCTCATTTGCCTGTCAGTATATTGTACTGTGGTAGTTTGCATGAGGCTGGAGGCTATGCCACCAGTATTTCAAATACCTGCAGGGTCACCCATGGTGGACAGGTTTCAGCAGAGCTTCCAGACTAAGACAGACTCAAAAGAAGGAAGATGTACACAAGAGGTATAGACCATGCATTGGTATGGCAGATGATATTCCTATATATGAATTTGTATATGCTATAAATATGTTGGGAAATCCTACTTTCGTAGTGATACTGCCTTGGAAACCCAAGGAGGGGTTGTTATGAGGTGGGGCCGACTTGACGGCACATAACAACAACAACAACATAAATATGTTCACGTGCCGTTTAAACCTAACAGGAGGCAACATTAGGATAACTTTTGAGTCATAACTAAGCATCTTGAGAGAGTGAATCACTGGGCCTGTGGGCTCAGGACTATGGTTGCAAGGGACATCAAGCTCCATTGGTACAACATGGTATACAAAAATATTATTCTGCATCTTATTTTGGTTAGTAGCAACTTAAAAGTAGGGGCCTTAAAAGCTTGCAAGCAGCCATCTAAGATGAAATTACTGGTCTCTCCTGCCTGAACAAAGAAAAGTGAAGAAAATCAGAGACACATGGAAACAATCCAAAGGACTAATGGACCATGGGAACCTCGGACTATGTAACCCTGAGACCAGAAGAACAAGATGGTGCCTGGCTACCGATGCCAACCACTTGGAAAGGGATCAAAATTGGAGACCCTGGGCAGAGTGGGAGAAAACTGTGGAACAAAACTCAAAATCATTTTCTGAAAAAAGGACCTGGTTTACTGATTTAATAGAGACTGGTGAAACCCTGAAGACTATGGCCCCTTGTCGTCCTTTGGGCCTGGAATTGACGCATTCTGGTGGCTTAACTGGCAGTCAAACAACAGACGGGTCTATGAGCTGAACACCCAGTTGAGGGAGAAGCACCCCTCGGAGGAACCTGCCGTGGGGGAGCAGAAGCAGCATCTGCACAGGCCCGGACGCAGTCAGGCAGGAAGGACACAGGCAAGGGGTAGCCACAGGGAGGAAGCGGGAGGACAGCGGGGACACCTGGGCAAAGTCGCAAGTGTCATAAAACAAACTGTGTGTGAACTACTGAATGTAAAGCCAATCTGCTTTGTAAAATTCCACCCAAATCACAGCAAAAAAAAAAAGTAAAAGAAACAAAAAAGAAGAAGAAAAGATCGTTCAAAATGGTTGCAGCAGCACCTCATAGGGAAACACCAGAAAGTCAGGCTGCATTTGACATCTCACTGTCAGGTGAGTCTTGGCTGAAAGCAGGGAATATCAGAGAGATGTTTACCTGCGTTTTATTGACTATGCAAAGGCGTTCGACTAGGTGGATTGTAACAAATTGCACATAACATTGAGAATAATGGGAATTCCACAACACTTAATGGCACTCATGAGAAACCTGTACACAGACCGAGAGGTATTCACTGGAAGAGGCAAGGGAATACTATGTGATTTAAATGTGCATCAGGGTTGTGTCCTTTCACCACCACACTTATTCAGTCCATATGCTGAGCAAATAATCCAAGAAGCTGGTATATATGAAGAAGAGTATGGCATCAGGATTGGAGGGAGACTCATTAACCTTCTGTGGTACGCAGATGACACAACCTAGCTTGCTGAAAGTGGAGAAGACTTGAAGCACTTAGTGCTGAAGATCAAAGACTACGTCTTTCAGTATGGATTACACCACAACAGAAAGGAAACAAAATTCCTCCAACTGGATCAATACGCATCATCATGACAGATGGAGAAAAGATTGCAGTTGTCAAGATTTCATTTTACTTTGATCCACAATCAGTGTAACGGAAGCAGTAGTCAAGAAATAAAATGACAAATTGCATTGGTAAATCTGCTGTAAAACCCCTCTTTAGTGTTAAGGAGCAAAAAGCTTTGAGAACTAAGGAGCTCCTGACGCAAGCCTGGTATTTCCAATCACCTCATCTGCATGTGAGAGCTGGACAATGAATAAGCAAGACCAAAGAGGAGCTGGTGCCTGGAATTGTGGTGCTGGTGAAGGACATCAAATTCTCCATGGACTGCCAGAGAATAAACAAGTCTGTCTTGGAAGACTCCAGCCAGAATGCTCCTTAGAAGTAAGAATGACGAGGCTTTGTCTTTCGTGTTTTGCTCATGTTGCTGGCAGGGACCAGTCCCTGGAGAAGGACATTGATCTTGGTAAAGTAGAGCGTCACAGAAAGCAGGAAAATCCTCCGTCACATGGTTGACACAGTGGCGGCAGCGACGAGCTCAAGCGGACTGTGAGCCCAGGGCAGGACCGGGCAGTGTTTCACTCTGTTGAATGTAGGGTCACTATGAGTTGGAACTGCTTGAATGCATCTAACAACAAAATGTTCATTTTAAAATCAAAGGAACTGTGATACAAAAAAAGATAAATTCCCTGCCAACGGCCACACAGCCAGTGAGAATTTGCTGTAGGTTATCTTGTTCCAAACCTTGGGCTCTGAGCAACTACCCAAAATGCCTCAAAGACCCCAATTTAATGAATACTTCTATGCCAGACACTGCTTCAGGCATTAATATAAGTGACCTCATTTGCTCCTCACACGAGCCCTGTAAGTTAGGCATGACCTGCAATTTATGCATGAGGACTCGAGGCTCAGCGAGTGCCATTACCAGGCGGGTGGGGAAGGGCCAGGGCTGAACTGTGCACCCAGCTCAGCGAGGTCCACCACTGAAGTCCTTCCTGCACCATCTTCCTGGTCATCAACCCCAAATATCTGTGCTAAAACCCAGTGGTATTAATGTGTAGTGGGGAAAGAAATGAACAAAATATGCCACCTCACACTAGAAATGTACAGGGAGAACTTTTACTGCTGGTGAACATTAGACAGTAAAATTGAAATGAACACAAAAGTGGTCTTGGGTGCCATCTAGGGGACAGTTCCTGAAGTGGCACCTGTTCCTCAGTCCTGCTGCCAGCCCTTACCGGTATAGTGGACTCACCGACACTTCTGTAGGGCAGGGCGTGTCCTGGGACTCAGAAGACAAAGAGTTTGGGGCAGGCAGAGCCAGGCAGGCCCAGATTTCTTGTTTCTTCATGTTCTCTTATCACCCACAGGTCTGCAGTCGCTCTCCAGGGCTGCTGGGCCGAGCACCATGAACTGTTGAAAACAGCAGCGTTTACGCTCTCACGGTGCTGGAAGCCACAAGTCTGAATCTGGGCGTCAGCAGGACCGTGTTCCCTCTGAAGGCTCCAGGGAAGGTCCTTCTTTGTCTCTGCAGCTTCTGGTGGCCCCACACATTCCTTGACTTCTCCATGCACCACAATTCCATCTCTGCTTCTGTCTTCCCATGGCCTCTTCCCACCATCTCTCTTTCATAAGCACACCACTCCAATGGGATTAGGACCCACCTATGTGACCTGTAGGTGCTCTGGTAGTGTAGTGCCTAAGGCACTTGACTGCTAATCAGAAGACTGGCAGTTCAAACCCACCAGCCACTCCTCAGAAGGAAGGTTGAGCAATCTACTTCCGTAGTGATACTGCCTCGGAAACCCAAGGAGGGGTTGCTATGAGTCGGGTCTGACTCGGCAGCACATAACAACAAAATATGACCTATATGACCTCATGTTAACTTATGACTTCTGACATCTTCAAAGACTCTGTTTCCATTAAGGCCACATTAACAGTATCAAGGGTTAGAACTTCGTGTCAATTTTAAGCAACTGTTCAACCCATAGCAATGCTCAAGGTGAGATGCCATCATTCACAAGCAAAGTAAAGCACCTTGCCGTGCCCCCATGCTGTCTACACCACCACTGAGCTCTGCTAACAGCCCCAGGGCCCACCTGTCTCCCAGGCACACCTGGCTGCAGCCGTCCCTGCTGATCCCTCACCTTGATGGTTTCCATGGCATCATACGTGTCCAGCTTGTTGATGTGGTTGGTGATGCTGGTGTTGAGAGGGGCAGGCGAGACAGGGTACTTGACGGTGGCGTCGTGGGACTGCTGCTGGTCGCGCTGGCAGTGGGTGTAGACGAGCAGGGTGAGCAGGCAGCCGAGGATGGAGCTGCTCAGCCCCACGGCCATCGGGTGGCACACGTTGAACTCTGGGAAGACAACCAGTTGCCATGGAGTCCACTGACTCATGGTGACCCCATGAGTGTCACGGTAGAACTGTGCACCACAAGGGTTCAGTGGCTGAGTTGTAGAGTAGGTTGCAGGGTGCTTTTCTAAGGTGCCTCTGGGTGGACGGTAGCTGCCAGCCTCTCCGTCACCAGCTGAGTGCTGCGCCGTTTGCACCACGGGGACTCCAACAAAGGAAGAGGACGCCACGCAGCTTGGCTGGTTTTCTCAGGACATCTCAGGCACTGGAGAGCCGCAGCCTGCAGCAGCTGGAGAGGCACTGGGGCCGCCACCGTGCCCTGGGATCTGCACAGAGACACTGACTCTGTGCTGAGATGGGCCAGTGGTCTCCCCTGTCGTCATTTCTCCACTGTAGCATTAGCTCTCATGTTGTCGTAGTTGTTAGGTGCTGTCAAGTCCTTTCTGATTCATAGTGACCATTCAACGGAACCAAACGTTGCCCGGTCCTGCCCCATCCTCACGATCCTTGCTACATCTGAGCCCATCATTGCAACCACTGTGTCCATCCGCCTCATTGAGGGTCTTCTTCTTCTCGCTGACCCTCCACTTCACCAAACATGGTGCCCTTCTCCGGGAGCCAGTCCCTCCTGATGACATGTCCCAAATGTGGGAGATGGAGTCTCATCATCCTTGCCTCTAAGGAGCATTCTGTCTGTACTTCCTCCAACACAGATTTGTTTGTTTGTCCATGGTACACTGGATATTCTTTACCAACGCCAAAAGTCAAAGTTATCAATTCTTCTCTCCTCCTTATTCAATACCTAGTGTTCACATGCTATGCGGTGGTGGAAAATACTATGGTGTGGTAGTTAACTTTGTGTGTCACCTTGGCTGGGCCTGGGTGAGTGGCTGGGCAGCTGGATGTAGTATTCCCCATGATGAGACTGGTCATCAGCTCCATGGTGGAATCTACTGTGTGGGCTAAGTATCTGCTTTAGGGATGTAGCCTGCTTCCTGTATATAGAAACAGCTTGGGGAACGGTCTCCAGTGATGGCACGCTTGGAACCTGCATGTAGCTGTGTCATTGTTCAGCAGCCTGCCATGCTCTGCCGACCTTGGGACTTTCAGTGGACTTGAGTTAATGGCCTACTGTGTGGTTTGGTAACATCGGGACTGTGCCTTCTTACTTGTCAACCTTGGGTTTGTCAGCCTCAGCAGCCAGCAGCTGTCTGAGCAAAGAAAAGCCTCTAGCTTCAGTGGGCTGGGAGCCAGAGGCAGAACTGAAGTCCAAGGCTGAGGGGCTTTCACCCAGCCGCTAGGGCCTGACATTCTGAACTTGGACTTAAAGCCTCCAAACTGTAAGAATAAATTCCTGTTTGTTCA